AGATAGGTAGATAGATGGATGGATAGATAGATAGATAGATAGATAGATAGATAGATAGATAGATAGATAGATAGGTTGATAGATAGATAGATAGGTAGATAGATGGATGGATAGATAGATAGATAGATAGATAGATAGATCGATGGATGGATGGATAGATAGGTAGATAGATAGATAGGTAGATAGATAGATAGATGGATAGATAGNAAACGTTTGACCTCTGTCATTGCCAACAAAGGGTTTATAACAAAGCATTGAGATGAACTTTTGTTATTGACCAAATACTTATTTTCCACCATAATTTGCAAATAAAGTCTTTAAAAATCAGACAATGTGATTTTCTGGATTTATTTTTTTTCTCATTTTGTCTCATAGTTGAGGTATACCTAGGATGAAAATGACAGGCCTCTCTCATCTTTTTGAGTGGGAGAAATTGCACAATTGGTGGCTTACAAATACTTTTTTGCCCCACTGTACGTAACAGCCTGTCTATTTTCTCGTCTGTTAAAGATGGCTCCTTCAGGTTCAGCGTCCTTCCTATCATCTTTCTCACCCCCTCTCAATTGCTATCGTTGAGGAGAGGGTTAGTGTGCAACAAGTTCAGTTCAAGGAATGTTCGGCTTAATTGTAGATAGACTTTAGTTCTCCCGAAATGTGTCCAACCAACTAAAGACAGAATTGTAAACGTTTTATTTAAATTTCAGTTTCCATTTTCGGGAACTTAAAAAATTGTGCAAGAAGGCAAGGCAGGTTTATTTATGTAGCATCTTTTCAACTCGAACTGATTTACAAAAAGGGAAATTAAGAGCATTAAGAAATAGAGAAGGGGAAACACATTAAAACAAGCTAATATAGAGGTATACAATATATGAATAAAAGTGACTGTTCAGTCCGTCACTTTTATTAATGTTTGTTCCAGATATTCGGAGCATAATAACTGAACGCCATGTTGAGTTCTGACTCTGGTGACAGAAAGCAGACCCTCCCAGAAGACCTGACAGTTCTGTGTGGTTCATAATCTAGCTGGAAATCAAAAATGTATTTCGGCACTAAACCATTCAGCGCTTTATTTTTTCGAAATAGCAACTTTTTTTTTCCGAAAGCAAAAGTATAGAAAACAAAATCAACAAGCTTCTCTTTGTGTGCTTGAGTTGCGCAAGAGGCTGTCTGTTCTCTTGTCTGACTCCGGAGGGTAAAGATGGCTCTTTCAGGTTCAGCCTCCTCCCGATCAACTCTCTCCCCTCCTCAATTGCTATCGTTGAGGAGAGGCGTCTCCGTGACGATGGCACAGCGATGCATTGTGTGAGGGCCCCCCCGTCTGAATGAGCCCCGAGGAATGCCGGCGTTCCCGCTCATTCCCTCGCTGCACTCTCCCACGACTAATCCCCACCCCTTCTCATTTACACATGCTCACCCCCCCCCCTCTCTTGTGTCTCTAGCTCTGTTCTCCTTAGCCCATCCAATCCTCCCCCCCTCCCCCACTGACCGTCTCCCCACTCTGCGCCTGTTGTATTCTAAGATAAGATAAGATAGACTTTATTGCTCCCAATTTGTGATCCGTCACAGCAGCATGTAAACAAGGCATTCCACAAAATGTGAGTAGGAAATAAACATAAAATAAAAAGGATCTTAAATAATATTAAATAAATAACGACAGTGAAAGATATATATCTGAAGACTATCTCTCAAATATACACCATGAATGGCCAACTACAGCTAACAAAATATGAAGGTAGATTATTATTGACGTATATAGACTTTTTGCACTACTTTTTCAATTCAATTCAATTCAAAACCTTTATTTATCCAGGTGAAATCCCATTGAGATCAATGATCTCTTTTTCAAGGGAGACCTGCAGCAGTAGGTTCCACATGAAGACATAAAAACATAAACAACAGAACAACATACAGCAACATTTACAGGGATTAAAATTTACATATCTATCCACATGTACAGGTAACAACAGCATCTGATTGTGTAGCATCCAACCGAGCTTTAAAACATGTAGTAGTTCCAGATTGGTAATTTTCCATTCTTTTTGCAGACTTTTATTTCGTATTTTATGATATATGTTGCATTGTTGGAGGGGCTCAGGTCAGAAGAATTTCATTGCCATTTCTACACTGTAGCTTTGACAATAAAACCTTTGCATCTTGAGTGTGCAAGAAATAAGATGTTAAATA